ACTGCTATCAGTCTTATAGTTTACATGAAGTACCAAGTCCTGCTGCTCTGAACAACTGCTAAGGCAGTGTATGCAAAATAAAATAAAAAGACATTCAAATTTCCTAAAGGTAAGAAAAATAAATCTCTGGATCGGCAGATTATAATCATAGGTGGCACCACTTAACAGGCTAAAATCTAAACTATGCAACATGTGACTAAAAAGCATGTGGCTTTCCCCACGCTATTGCACTGCTGGGGTACTTGGCAGTAGTCACCCAACAAGTCAGGCTACTATACAGACTACTTCAATTCCTATTCTGCAGAAGACAATACCAAACACATCAAAAGAGATCAGACTATGATTTATATCCTAAGACATAAGTTTTTTATTAATAAAACTGTTTCCTCAGCGTTAAATTCCATTAAGTGTACTTAAGACAGAATTACTACACATCTTGCTCCCAGGCAAAACCTGACCATTCCACATGTGTTACAAATAAGTATCTCTTTACATTTATTGGTGTGCAGACAAAAGTCAAAGGATTTATTTTCATATTCTGGCAAGTCAGGAATCTTCCATTTTTGAGGAATCACATCACTATCAATCTATTTCTATTTTAAACTTATTAATTTTCATACCAAATAACCAGTAGATACATTTTTATATTAATCACATTTCTCCATCTTGAAGTAAGAAGCTTAGGTGACATCACTATTAGGGAAGCAAGCTGTGAGATACAAGATATTTTAAGGAAGACTTTAAAGTCCTTTCCATTCTGCATGAAGTTTCCCCCCTTCTTCCCCCTGCATATTTTTTAATCTTGAAAGCATTTCCTACTAATGCATGAAACCCCCATTATGCTGCATATGGTTTCTATTATCAAGTCTATAATGCTTTCAGTAATTTCTTTAATTTCTCTAGTTGTTACCTCATTCTTTTCATGCCTGCTTGACACAGAAGCAGCAACCCAAGTTGTTCCTAAGTATCTTTCTTTAGTTATAAATCAGTCTCCACACTCCTGTAGCGTACCTCAAAATGGCTTGCTTTTACTACCCTTGCATGAATAAAGAAAAGGCCTTGAATATTGGCTGATTATTATACTCTTCATTATATATTTGGAAATAATCCAATTTTCTTATTTGAAGAACTAGATTTTACCTAAAAATTAAATTTACATTGCACCCACGGACACTACGCTTACACCTACAGACCTAAATCAAGACCTGGGATTTGTGCACAAAAAACCTGAAGAATACTCTTCATAGAGATAAAATAAAAAAAATAACCAAACAAAAGACCTCCAAAATTCTTGTTTTCAAAATTACTAAATTAGTGCAAGATCAGCTTTCCATGGCAGATTTCCAAATAACTACTAACTCAATGGTAGCTGAGTGCCTAAAAATGTAACCACACAGTACTCACCCAAGATTTCATGGGAAGGCCTGTTTCTACCATGCAACCAGCTCCTTTTTTTTCTAGTCTGTTCGGCGCATGCCATTGGGCCATGGATGGGTGCCAGCACAAGGGAAGAATTTACCATTGTTCAGATGGAAGCCGTCGTGTACACAGGAGGTTCTGCAGAAGGACTTCATGGTTCACTGCATGGGCCAAAGTTACCAGTGGAACACAGCACAAACAGAAGCAGCTTCACTTGGAAATTACAATTTATTCCACGGACTTGATTTCGAATGATCAAAACACAAATACATAAGCTGTCTCCAGTAAGGCCTGGAGCCAACCCTAGACATGGCTCAGAAATTATGAAGATTGCATACTCTGTAGTCTTAGGGTAAGGGTATGCGCCAAAGGTATTCCACTTCCTGAAATAAATCAACCTTGTATCACCATCTTGCTTCAGAGGGTGCTGCATTTCAAATGCAATGATGTATGGAAGAGGGTTGAGGGGAGATAAAAATATTTCACCTGATCATTGCTTCAGGCAATAACTTGAACAGTGATTTCACCATTTTTACCCTTTTAATGTTGATTTTAACTGGATGTGATACACTCAAGAGGTTCAAATCAACAGAAAAAAAGTAAAAAAACTGCTGCATGATTTCATTTTGGTAACTATGTACAATTTCCCTGTACTACACAATCAGTTATTTCATACATGAAGCATACAAGAATAGACAGAACCACCATGAATTTCCAACCTTTTGTGTTTATTCTGTCCACAGATCAGAGTTGGTGCTCCCTGGCTAAACTGAAACAGCCGGACAAAAGGAAAATATCCACTGCACACAATCCACTAGCAAAGAAGATCACGAAACAAAGCTTGTCCCTCAAATGGAGTCCTGTGATACAATGAGTAGACAGCAAGTGCAAAAACCTTTGGTCATGTCCTTGCTTCTTCTTTTTCCCTCAGCCCTAAATGTTGCCCAGAATTCTCAGAAACACCCTGAATACAAAAGGATTGTGTCGGACAAGCTATCTCCCCTGGAGAGAGCAGTAGCAGCAGATGCTGCATCGTCCATCTTCCGTCAGTATGGCACTCCCACTCCAGACTCTCCCTGGCTTAATGGGGAACATCTACACAGCAAAAAAAAAAAAAAACCTCAGTGTTTGAAGCCTGGCCACCAGTTTAGGTGGTGCCTGGCAAACATCTGGCAAACAGAGAGGGGACATTTAGACATATTTTAGGGCTCTGATGGCTTCTTCAGAAGAGATCTTAATTGGAAATACTGGAAATACCAACTAATTGCTATGCAAGGGGCCTTGGGGTGTATATTTTCTAGTGAACGTTCATCACCCTCGAGGGGAAGCAAAAAAACCCACTGCCACCGCCTGTTTAGAAGCCCACTGGCAATATTCTTTTGTCAGCTTTAAGTCAACTCCAGCCTAACACACCAGACATCTTCTGTTCAGAAACTTTCATTAGCTTACACAATGATACATTTTAAACGGGCTTAAGCATGCTCCCTCTAAAAAGAAATATATATATACTCGAATTTTGGACACGAGTTGGGAAAGAAGAGTAGTGAAGAAGGAACAGACATCGAGACGCAACAACTCGAACAAAAGAGATCTCAAGATGTCGCACTAACAAGCACGCACACAATCTTCCTCTTGATACACTGCTTCCCCTCGGCAGAGGGGGATGCTTCAGGAGACCGCCCGCCGGAGCGCAGAGCACGCGTGGGTCTCCCAGACGGAGCCCGGCGGGGAGCGCGTCCCTGCGGCGTCGCTGCTCCGCGGGGCTTCCTACTGCGGCACGGACACCGCAATTCGCCTCGCCCTCTTTGCTCAGAGCGACCCACGAAACACCCCACGCCGCTGCAGAGGGACCCCCTGACCCACGTCTCCTGCCCCAAGGCCACTGACAGGAGCGGAGGCGGGTGCTGGAGCCCGCGGCATCAGAGCTCTGGGGGCACCCGCGGGTGCTCGACTGCCGCCGACCGAAACCCACTGCGGGCAGCACGGCCTGCCTTTTCCCTTCCAAAATGCCAAATTTTCTGTGGGTGAGAGGAGGGGCGACACGGATCCACTCCGCCATCGCGCACAGAAACAAATGCCAAAGCTAAGCCAGGCGCAGCGCGGGGAAGGAAATGGGCCGGGGTAGCGCCGGCTCGCCCCGATGAACAGCGCCGGGGATGGCGGCGGGCGGGGGGCGGACGGGCGGGGGCAGCGCCCGGGGGTCGCGGTCGGCGCCTTTGTTCCGCCGCCGGCCCCGGCCGCGCGCCACCTCCGCGCATGCGCCGGGCACGGACAAAGGCGCGGATGGGGCGGCGGAGGCTTCCGTATGCCCTTCCGCCCCACGTCCCCCACGCCCCGCATCCTCGCTCCACTCCGCACCTCCCCGTCGCCCCGCATCCCCCGCTCTGTTCCGCATGCCCCCCTCTGCCCCGCATCCCCCCGCGTGGCGCCCACCCTGCGTGGCAGGAGGGTGGGGGTGTCTCGGGGGTGTGCGTGTGTCCGCCTCCCTTTTCCCGCGTGAGCCGCCACGCCCAGCTGAGGCGCGGGGAAAGCGCCCTGCGGGGGCCGCGTTTGAAAGACGCGCGTGCATGGGGAAGAGGCGACACGGCGGGTCGGGAGGGGAAAGAAAAAAAAAAAGGTCGACAGGAGTTGTAGCTTTCTTTGGTGGGGGGAAAACGAGAAACCAGAGTGTTGATGGGGACCTGTGGGAGCGGAGGGCGGCAGTCGGTGAATATTCATAGAATGGGCGCATCGGGGCATAGCACGGCGGGCAGCAGCGGCGGTCCCTGTAGTGTTTGACGGCGGGTCCGTAGCCCCTGCTCGGGCGGCCGAGCCCCCGAGCCCCGACGTGCGCTGTCCAGCCAGAAGAAGCGCTTTGAACTCGCCGGCGCGTCCACGCGCACGCGTAACCGCGGAGGCAGCGCCGCTTCCGCGCCGCCTCGCCAGGGACAATCGCGTTGTCCCTGGCCCCAGTGGGCAAGCGCCGCTTCCCGCTCCTCGCCCGCCCCACGCCTGCCCCACCCGTGGAGCCCTCCCCCCACCTGCCGCCCGGACCCCGCGGTCCCCCTGCAGCACCGCCGCCCCCTGCCCCCCGCCCTGCCATCTTCCTGGCGCTGTGCGTGCTCTTCTCCCAGCGCTTCCTTTCATGGAGAGCTTGGGGCATCTTTCTTTTTTTTTTCTTTTTTTTTTTTTTTTTTTTTTTCATTTAAAATTATTGTTATTAATTAAGCAGACTCCCTTTGGAAACAGGCTAAATGCACCGAAAAGAAATTGGGCATAAACCACTATTATTCCCACTACACCCACCGCTACCCCCACCCTTCCTCAAGAGAGCCTTCCCGGGCATTTAAATCTCATTGAATCGCTTTCGGTCCGTTGTGTGCCTCGATCCCGCTCCCAGGTAGTCCCCTCTCGAGGAATCGAGCTCCTAAAATGTGCCCAGGCAGGCGCCTCCCGGGCTGCTCCGCTCTCTCTGCTCTTACCGATTCACATGCACATCTCCTCTCCCCACAATCGAGACACAACGGAAGGGGGGGAAATGATAAAAATGGCAAAGCTCTCGCGGGCTGCTGTGTAAATAAGTGAGACACACCTCGTCTTACCTTTATATGTTTTTCCTCTGTCCCTGTCGGTGTGTTTGTATGCTGGGGTGTCACAAAGAGAGTTCCAGGTAGCCCAGAGCCTCCTCGCCTCGCTCGGAGCGCTGTTGCTCTCGCCCGCTTGCTCGCTGGGGTTGGAGTGCCTAGTGCCTGCTGAAGCACTGCCGCCGCTACCGCGGCTGCTGCCTCTGCATTTCTCACTCACTCTCTCCCCCTCCCTCTTTCCCTCCCTCCCCCCTTCCCTGTGACAGTCTGTGGGCAGTTCAAAAGCCATACGCTTTATTTATTTATTTTCCGGGCTGGCGGGCGGGGGATGCGCTGCGCGGTGCTCGCGCTTAGGGGGCGCACGGACCCCAGGTTTAAATATCAGCCGTGCAGGCTGCGGAGGGGGGCTGCATCGCGGGTCCGCGAACGCACCTTGCAGCATCACACCCCCACACCCCTCAAAAAAAAGGGGAAGGGAGCAGCCAACCTCCCTGCCCCGAGGAGAGCGGGAGCGGCACGGCGAGGTGCGGAGCGCTCCGCGACCCTCCGCATCCGAACCACAGCGGGGGCGACTGTGCACCATGGGGCGGACGGCCCGTCCCCGGCGGAGCTGGGATGCTGTGCGGCGGAGGGAGCGGGCAAGCCGGGCCGCCTACCTACACCTGCAGCCCTCTCGGGGAGCGGCAAAGCCGCTTACACCGCGCAGAGGGGAGGCACGGGCGGAAGAGACTAAAAATTCCCGGGCCTGGATGCTCTTGGCACGCTTAAGGAGAGGGTCTGCCGGTTAAACACAAAAGGCAGCAAAACAGAGGAAAGCAGCACATTTCTCAAGAGACTGGATCTCTCCCGGGCGCTCCTGCAGCTGAACAGCTGGACTGAACGTCGCTGGGGCTTCAGGACTGCTATCCCTCCAGATCTCCCTCTGTTCCAAAGCATCCCTGAGCCTGCCACAGCACCACCGAGGGTGCTGTCCGCACTCTCCCACCGCTCTCTTTTTACAGCTTGGCTGTGGCGGGGGTCGGGTGCTGCGGGAGCCCGACGGCGGCGGGCGATGCGCGGGGCTGGAGCGCCCTCTGCTCCCCGAGCGGCGGCCGGGCTGGGCTGGGCTGGGCTGGGCTGGGCCGGGCCGGGCAGGGCCCTGGCTCCGCCGGGTGACCGGCCCCGGGACCGGCAGCCCGGGAAGACCAGTGGAGCGGAGCCGCTGGGAACGGACCGCGGTGGCGGCACGTCTTGGAGGAATCTTTGGCTCAAGGGGCGCGGTCCGGCAACGCCAGGGCTTCAAAGCCAGCAGCACCATCTTTCAGCAAGAACAATGGAAGCTGTTTCCCATTTATCTGGGGACAAGAACCGAGTGAGAAATGCGTAGTAGAGTCGTGATAAGGTTAAGCCCAATTTGTATTTTCGATGGATATGGATCGAAAGGGGAGCAAGGCATGTGGAGAGGGAGGGTGCGGCCGCCAGGGTGTTCTTCTGAGGGCCGTGGTGTGAGATGTGGTGTGCGGAATCACGCTTCCCGGACATTCCCACGAAGGAAAACTATCGGGCAATAAAATACATTTGAGTTTGTGTTTCACACACCGCAACCTGTAGCTGTGCCGAGCATCCACCCAGCCGCTGCCAGAGCGGGGATCCGGTCCGAAATGCCAGAGGAGAGGCTCAGGGACGACCTGGCAGCGCGGCGGGAGTCTCCGTTGTTCCCCCCGCGGTCACACAAAAGCCCTGGGCGTAAAAGGAGGAAGGGAGGAAAGGAGAATCATGGACACGGAGGGTTCACCAGACAGGGACAATTCCTTATATTTTCGTGAAAGCGTTCGCAAGCCAATATTTTCCTCATTTTTTTTTAATTTTATGGAGTTTTATTTTCCTAGTTCTGCTTCGCATCTCCACGTTTTCCTGGTGGTTTAACGCTCGCTCTGCAGCTTTCGGGGCGCAGAGCTCTCCATGCCACACCTGCCGCGATGCAGCATCCCACCATCCCGAAGCGCGGTGCGGTCTGGCTGCGCCCTGCCGCAGCTGAGGGACAGTGGGGGAAGGGGGGAGAGGAGGGAGGGCAGGCGGGACCCTTTCGCCCCTCGCCCTCGGTCGCGATATCTCTGCGCTCAAGATAATGGGCTCGGCGAGACAGCTGCACGGCACGGGTGAGGCATGCAGCAGTCAGCGTTACGTTGGGTAATAGAGAAAAAAGAAGAAAGGGAGTGGGACACGCCCTGACACGTCCTCGGCCGTCGGAGAAGGAGGTGGCTGCTCCCCTCGGAGGCGAGGTGCGTCCCGCCCCCGCGCTGCCTCTGCGTAGCCCGCGGGAGCCGGGCTCTGCCCGCGCGCTTTCCCGGGAGCAGCCCTGCAGAGGTAGCGGTAACTGCAAGGTCAAGGGAGAAAATCCCTCTCCTCAGTTTTATTTCTGAGCCAGGAGCGTTTGTGAGGCAGGGTTGGCGAGATGCGAGAGGCAAGATGGGTCCAAAGTTTAGCCATGGAGAAAAGCAGAGACATGCAGCACACAGCAGCATGACTGTGGAACAGCTCAGTGAGAGGCTGAGGGCCTGGGCTGGGCTGAAATCGGTCCTGAACCGTGGGTAGGGCTCAGAGGGAGCCCCAGGTTATGCTGGGCCGGGACGATCAAGGCTAACAGTGCCCATGAGGACATGACATTCTGATTGCCAAGATTGCTTTCTAAAATTGCCAAACCACCACACAATTACGTGAAACAATATTAGAGGGAAAGAAAGACTGTTATTTGTGTTTAAATATGGGCCCAGGCAATGAATGCTCACCTGCATGAAATCTAACTCTATCAGACTTTGTAGCTGAATTACAAGTTACACAGGGTTCACAATATATCTCAGAAAGAAAAGTGTTCTGAGTCATTTGCTTGGAAAGCCCGTACAACTAAAAATGGCACAGAAATAGTCATTGTTACTATCAGTTTGTGAGGAGTTTTGATCCTTTTACTGTTTTCAGCAGCTAGAGAGCTGAGATGGTAACCATAGTTTACCAGCGAGTATTCTTTTAAATACACCTACATTCTAAATTATGTATTTCAGGACAGCCAATTTAAAAATTTGTCAAATGCTCATTTCAGTTACTCAGCTGCATCAAGGTAAGGTACATATCTGAATGTCATTTAATAAAAGTGATACTTTTAGGCAAATGGGTAGTCTAAACAGCCTTTGTCTTAACTAAGGGTGTGTAAGGTATCCTCTCCTTTTTCTTCTGAAATGAAAAAACAGTATCTGGTAGGGAAAAAAGTGCAGAACAGAGACACCTGCAAAAAGATTAATAACCAGGTCTGTTGTGGAAAGGCAAGTCTAGGCCCTTTTGTGTAATTAACAGCTGCATTTCTTAAATCCACACTGTTACTCTGACAAATACCCAAGGTGCCTCCATCTTAGCCAGCTCTTCCTGTCACCTCTTGCCACTTACTGTACCTCAGTGTCCTTCCCTCCAGCTTCAACATTTCAGTCTCAGCCTTGTTCAGCTCTGTCTCTCTTACAGGTGTCACCTGCTGTCATACTTCCATCTTTTCCAGAAGGAAACAAGTCCAATCCTAAATATTCTTTCCTCATCTTTAATTTGTATTATTTGTTCTTCTGATTAATAATCAAATCTTTGTTCTGTGATTATATTAGGTCTGACAAGAAGCACAAGCCATGTATCTTAGCCCATCATTTCCACAACACAAGTTCAAAATACTCACATGCCCACCTCCCATCTCCTTCCACTTCTCTGCCTGTATCCCTGTCACCCACAATTCCATTTTTGTGTCTTGATCACTCTTTGGGCTTTTTCCACAGACGAATCTAGGATAAATAAAGAGTACCTATGCTGGGGTAGTGGGGGAGCTTTCCATTTTATTCCATAGGAAGAGAGAGATGACCAGCAAACAAGAAAAAAAAAAAATCACAAAAAATCACAAAAAAAAAGAACCCAAACAAACAAAAAACAAACAAAACAAATCCTCACCTGTGCCCCTCTTTCAGCCTTCAAAATGAAACACTGCCTTCCTTGCACTTAGAATCGCAACAAAACAGAAGTAAATCCAGGTTTCTCACAGCTCAGAGAACTTCCCAAACCTGTCAGCTCCGGCTGCAGCTGCAGGAACAGCCAGCCCCCCCGGCCTCCAGCTGCTGCCCTATACTCTCCTGTAAATTCCCGAGTATGCACCACAAGAGGGAGCATTTTGTTCAGTTTTTTTGGCAGAACCTTGTTTTTCCGGTATCCAGGCGATGGGAGCAAGCGCAGTTTCCCGTATGTAGCGATTTTCCCAAGCCCGTTTACCCCATAAGTATTTTCGTAATAATGGGGTTTTTTTTTCACCGTGCTATGCAAATTTTAAGTGTTTCTTAAGATTATTATTCATATAAAGTAATTTTTATAATTAATATCTAAAGTGTAATCATTTTAATTCCCTGTTGATTCTCTTGGTTATAGAGTAATTTCTTCTGCGCCAAATGCAAGATCCAGTTTTACTTGTGGTGGAAGACATATCTAAAATTTTCTATTTGCAGTGGATATCATCTCCTATATAACTACTAGCTACATAAATTTCAAAAATTGACTGGCATAGGCAGACACAAGGTATTATTTCAGAAATTTGCAGGCAAAGCACATAAAATAAAGAGCTTTGATCAAATCCCAAAATAAAAACTTTGATAAATCACTACTGGAAAACCTCAATCCAAAATTAAGTCCTGACAGATGCAAATCTCTGATAACAATTTTAATCTGGACAACCCAAAGTCCTATAGTGGTAGGTGTATCTGAGTCTAGTTTTACTAGACTGCTTCTGTTTATACCATGAGTGGCACTTTGTGCCTATAGCCAGGTAGGGATCTGTAGGTTGTGAACCCTGCTTTACTCCAGCATTTCTGGCTTCAGCTCAATCTATAACAGAAAGCATATGTGCCTCCCAGGAGGTCCTGCACTAGCCATTGATTTTAAAAGGCTTCTCTGCTCCACTGAAGTCTGCATGAAAGTTTTTCCAAAGATGGATATATTTTCTCTTCTGACAGTACAGTTATCTGGGTTATTTCTGTCTCTTACCCCACTTATGCTAAAGAGTTAGAGTTACTTATGTGCAAAAGAAGCAAATGTGTTCAACTACCATAAGCTTCCCTTATGATTTATTCATGCCAGGCTTCTCTATGACCATCTATAGGTTAGATCTCGGACTCTTCACTCCATTTTCACTGGCAAAGGAATAGCTGAATAAGGTATTCACTGTTTGTCTTCTATGGCCACAAAAATGTCTTTCAGTTAACAGCTGAAGTGACA